TCCCCTGCTCCCCTGCTCCTGCTCTGCACACCCTGGAGATGCAAAAGGTGTTTTGGCAAGTGGAGAAACCTCCAGCTCCCCAGTGCTGGTGGCAACCCCAGAGCAGAGCTCAGACACCCTTCGGATGGAAAGCAGCAGAGCCAGAGGTGGAACCTTCAGTCTTAGTGCTGGTTTTGCCCAGCAAGGCTGAGACAGAGACTCTGTCAGCTCCTCTGGGAGCCCTGGGCACGGCAGGAACCTCTCAGGGGAAAGGTTTCAGTCAATCTTCTGCAAACCTTCCTGGAAGGAGCTGTGGGGCTGCAGTGGCACCAAAGTTTGCCTCAGAAACTGCAGGGGCTCTCAGCAATTTCCCCTCCAAGGTCACCTTCGTGTGCCTGCTGTCCCCATGTCCCGAGGGTCACCCCAAGTGCCAGCACTGCTGAGGATGCCCCAGGTGCCCTTCAGCTGCCAAGCTGCTCCCAAAGGAGCTGTGAGTAGCCAGCACAGCCAGCGTCTCTGCTGGGGACAGGAGGACATTGGTATCCCCCAGGGATCAGTTTCTGCAGGACTCATTTGCTCTCCCTGCAGGAATCACTCTCTGCAGGACCCGTTTGCTCTCCCTGCCCCTCCCGCTGCCCTGCCCGAGGACCATTCCCGTTTCCAGCCGCTCACAGCCCCTGTCCCCACAGGCCCTGCCCCCGGGGGACCTGGAGCACTGGTTCCAGCAGGTGGTGGCGGCCGTGGAGGGCAGCGAGGGGGGCTCGGAGCGGGGCCAGCACACGGCGCGGCTGGAGAGGATCTACCACGGCCTTATGGGCTCCTCTCCTGCAGGTGAGCCCAGGCAGACATTCCCACAGGACGGGGAGCCCTGGTGTCCCCTGTGTCCCTGTGTCACTCCTGCCCGTGGCCCAGTTTCCATTTCTCCCTCCCAGTATTGCTGCAGACACTCGGTGATGGCTCTGTGAGAGCAGGGNAGCTCAGGTGGGTGATGCTGAGCCCCGGGCGGGGAGGGGGAGCCGGGGAATCCCCCTCAGCCACCCCTTACACCCCTGTCCTCTGTTCAAACACCGGGTGCTGCCCAAGGTGCTGCCGGGTGCTGCTGGAAGGTGGGAAATGAGCACAGAGCAGCGCAGGGGCACTCACAGCTGACAAAACATTTGAGTTTTAAAGTAGTTCATTTTATAGTAGTATGTTTTATTTTATTTTTTTATTTGATAGTAGTAATTTTTTATTTTATAGTGGTATATTTAATTATGATTTTTGTTTTATATTTTATAGTGGTATATTTTATTAGAATATATATTTTTATTTTATAGCAGTAGATTTTATTATTTTTATTTTATAGTATTATATTTTACCATTATTATTCTTTTTTATTTTATAGTAATATATTTTATTATTATTATTTTTTATTTTATAATAGTAAATTTTTAATTTATTATTATTATTTAATTTTATAGTAGTATATTTTAGAGTTTTTTATTTTATAGTAGTATATTTTATTTTTTATTTTATAGTACTATTTTTTTTTGTCTGTGTGTGTGTATTCCAGTTCATTCCCCCCATGTTTCATTTTCACGCTGTTTCAGAGGTGCTGTTGATCTCCCAGGGTCAGGATGTCAATGCTGAAAGGTTTTATTCCATTTCCAAGCCCCTGCTCTTTGTTGCTGGGTTTATTTTTTGCTGTTTTTAGATCAAAGTGCCTCTTGTTTGTGCTGGGTCGGACTCTTTGCTGTGCCCCGTGAGGGACCCTCAGCGCTGGGGCTGCTTTGATGAGCAGGAGAGGCCCGGGCTGAGAGCGGAGCTCAGGAAAAGCCTCCCCTGGTTACAAACACTCACAAAGGAAAAGAGCAGCACATTTCAAACAGCCCTTTGAGGCAGAATTGCCAAACCAATAAACAGGAGAGGGACATGGGGAGCTTCCCAAAATCCCTGAGGGGAAACCAAGGGTGAGGAAAGAGCAGTTTCTGACACATCTCTCCAATGACACCTCCTAAACGAGACAAACGCAGAGTCCTGGGGGTGTTTTGGTGCCGTGGCAGGGATGCGGCTCCCTGTGCACGCACAGACCCGACCTCAGCAGGGCAGCACTGCTGGCCCTGAGCCTGGGGCTGTGCCCCACCACAGCCCCGAAGTCATTCCCAGGCTCTGCTGCTGGAAAGGCAGCAGAGCCTGCATCCAAAGGGGCATTTCTGAACAGTTCACACTTATCTGTGAGCCAAAAGTAAGATTATGGCCAAATGTTTAACTCTCTCTGCTTCGCAAGATGGCTGAGGGATCTAACAGAGAGCCTGCAGGAATTTGGGGCATCAAGTTCAGCACAGCCAGCCTAGCTGGGAGCTGCAGGCTGGACCTGTGCTTGCTCACAGAATGGGACGAAGAAGTCAGTTATTTCATTAACCACATGTATCAGGCAGTGATATCACCTTTAAGGTGATATAATGAAGAGAAAGTTCAGCTTTTTATCCTCTGCAAGCCTGTAAAGAGGAGCAGGCTGCCAGGAGAAGGTCTGGAAGGCAGAGTGAAAGAGGCCGGAGTGAGACAGGCAGGCAGAACCTCCCAGGCTGGGTGACTCTTCTGGAGTACTCTGTCACTCTGTGGCACTCTGTGTCATTCTGTGGTACTCTGGGTCACTCTGTGGCACCTCCCGACCCGCTCCAGCAGCCCTGGGCACAGCTCTGCAGTTTCCATCACAGCTCTGAGGGCTCGGAGGGCTCTGATGCCTTGGGCAGGGCTCTGTCCGGGGTCTGTGCGGGCTCTGTGCGAGCTGTTCCCGGGGCTCTGTCCGGGCTCTATC